CTACAGGAATAACAAGAGCCACCTGCAGAAAAGGCTGAATGCCAGCTGGAATCATCCCCATGAAATGAATATGCTTCGCATGAAAATCAATCTGTGCTCAAGACGAATTAGCGTGCTTTATGCTCAGCTGTAATGCCGCCATAAGATTCCTTGAAGGAGGCTTATAAATCTTCCAAAGCCACTTTTCAACATTCATTTCTTTACGTAATTAATTTATTCTAGTGCATGTAAGCATCTGTTATAAGCTTATAGTGGAATCTTATCAAATGAACAGTGGTGGTGCTCCATTGTTACAGCTTCAGAGCAACCAAAAAAAAAAAAGAGGCAGTGGTGGAGGGGTGGGTAGGTAGTTGGGGAAAAATTTGTTACCACTCATAAAACTGCTCACACTGGCATAAGTTTGGGATTAGCCTCGTTTGGATTGACAAATTATTAAAATAATAATAAAAAAATCCTTTCATCTGTGCTTTCCCAAGCACTGAATCAACATAGGTAAGTTACAATTTCTGTTTTAGAGAGAGGGAAGCTCCAGCCTGAGCTAAATTACTTGTATGGGACCGAGGTTTCAAAGCAGAACCCAGGTGTCCTGATGTCAGAGTCCTCCCCTCCTGCCTCTAAGTAATTTGATCTGGTGTTTGATAAAAAATATTCTTATTTGGTAACAGCAGGTATATTGTCAGAACAAAAAGATAACCAGCCTGCTTGTGGCGTGCAGTAGGTAAATAAACCGGGAGTCTGAAACCTTAGTTCACTCTTTTCAGATAAACTGAGCCCTGTGCCTGGATGCATCCGTGTGGATATCCTCACGCTGTTTCACCATATGCCTTAGCCTTGGCATAGCTGTCTTTTGAAGGAGAGGAGCTCTGCCCTTGGGAAAGGTTTTGCTTTGTGCGGAGGCTTCACTGAACTAGTTAAAGCGGGGGTGTGGGGGCGTTGTGTTGTGTGTGCATGGTACAGTTTCCTACCAAAAAGGTGCTTAGTGCCATATTAAGGTCAAAGAGTAGACGATTACTGTGTTTGGTTGCTACTTCTAGAATTACTGAAGAAGGTTAAGCGAGGTGTAGCTCCTTTCTCGAGTGGTATGTGTGTGACAAGATGCAATCATAGAATCGTCTAGGTTGGAAAAGACCTTTAAGATCATCAAGTCCAACTGTTAACCTAACACCGCCATCCCACCACTAAACCATGTCCCTAAGCACCTCATCTATCCTTCTTTTAAATACCTCCAGGGATGGGGACTCTTTTTTTTTTCCTCTCTATCCCACCATCATAAAATGGATTTGAACCATTGACCCTGGAGACTTCTGAGTGTGTCAGAGGACTTGTGTGATTTTCTGATTTCTGAATCCATTGAACAGATATTTGAATTCATTGATATTTATCTGAAGTTCCACTCTGAATAAGATGTGGTGTATTTTGAGTAATCAGTTGCATGCTGGCATCCAGGACCCATCAGTTATCTGAACCCCTTCTATGTGACAATTGACTTACTGCACACCAGGTCACAAATCAGCTTTTCAGAGAATGCTCCCTTTTGGGATTTGTTGTAATCAAACAAGAACTTGCCATCCTAATGAGCTGATTTCTCCTTCTCCAGTAAAACATCATAAATGTAGATGTGTTTAACATAAAACTAAGCCTTCTCCAATCTGAATTGTTCTGGCTGTTGTTTGGGAGCAGGTTGGGGAAGCAAGGGGTGGAAGGATTTCAAACACTGTTCAGGAAACAGTAGCTTATTCTCAGTGAAAGCTGATGGGTAGCCAGATTGCATAATGCCTTTTTTCAGATGACCACTGTGTTGTGACTTTTGGTTTGGGAGGTGGGGAACCTCTGCTGGTTTCCATGTTCTTAGAGAGTTTCTCTTCTAGATGTTCCTGGATAACTGAGACTTACTTAGGTGACAAGTGATGTATGCTTGGGGCTTTCTGTAGACGACAGAAAAAGCACATTCACAGAATATTTTTCGGTGGCACCAAGTTTGTGTACGTCACTATGTTGTCATTTGTGATGCAATTAACTGGTAATTAGCTTTTCCTATAGCCCAGAGGGGAAGAGGTCTTTTGTTTCTCCTTCTCTAGCTCCATAGTAGGTAAATGTTCTATAAGCAAACCTAGACCTTAGGCTCTATTTAAATATATAAAATAGCTTTTAATAAATGTGTTAATAGGAAAAGTTGATCAATAAGTGATACTGTTCATATAATAATAATGGAAAAAAACCCCCACAACATTTTTGAGTGTTGTTTCTGATGCTCCCACTCAAAGGTAGACTCATCCTGTGAAGGGATTTCCTGAATCCTCTTTCCCATGGAAGTTAATAGGGCAGTAAATTATAGTGAATTGACTATTTCCGTGTTCCAGAGGCTTAAGGGAGTAATCAGTAATGTATCTTCCCATAAGGTAAGCTTAATGAGAGGGAAATGGTGGCTAAAGTATCCTGTGTTATATTTCATACATAGCATCCATGTAAACTTTTCTAGGTCAAAAGTAAAAGCAAGCAACAGATAAAATCAAAGGTTAGTTTCTTAACTTCATGCATGACCTGAAGCTGCCAAGCTGCTTTTAGTTGTCATCTTTGTGTCTAGCTCATTCTTTTAGGCAGTTGTTCTTCAGCAGTTCACTGCATTTAACAGCCTCCTCTTATGATAAAGCATGTCAATCCTAGTATTCTTTTGGGGAGGGGTGAGAGCAAGAAGTGAGAGAAAGAGCATTTTATGGCTCTAAGTGACTTGCCTTCCGTGTGGTGGTCACAAACCGGGACATCAGAAAGAGTCTTGGATTTAAGAAGAAAATGTGAATACATCATGGATGATGTGATTGAGCACATCATTGAAGATGATGGCTTGACTTTGACTTGGTTGTCTCAGGTATAAGCATTTATTTCCCTTTAGCTATTTCCTGCTCTGTGGTGCCACAAAAGATGTGCAGGGACCTTGTGGTGAGAGCTATTACACAGGGCTTGTAGGTTCACTCTGCTGTGTTCGTCCATAACATGGTCTTGGTACCAAGACCCTGAATGGAGTATTGGGCCATGGAGTGGCAGCAGATGGTTGTCTTCTGTTTGCTTCTATTCACCTTTTACTCAGCTCAAGAAGCTTTGCTTACTGTATTAAGAGCCTGAGATAAGAGACTGTCACAATGTCCATAGCTGCTCTTCATGTGACTTTAAAGCATCCTCAGATAATTTTTGTTTGATGTAGATACTAGTAACTTACTCTAATATGTAATCAGAATGCGTGGGACACACTTAAGATGAACCACCTTGACAGTGCTGATTTCTGCATGTAGTATTTATTCCCTCGTTATTTTTTGTTTGTTTTTTTCCAAACAAGAAAGTGGAGCAGCCGGCTTTTCTGACTCGCTCCTTTTCTCCTGTCTCCTGTTTTCAGGTCAGTGCTTGGTTCTCAAAACGGATCCAGACAAAAATCAAAGACCTTCTGCAACAAATGGAGGAAGGGCTGAAGACGGCAGATCCACATGACTGCTCTGCCTATACTGGCTGGACTGGTGAGAAAGCTAGAATTTGAACGAGTGTGTTTGTTAAATGGCATAATTGGCTTTATTCACAGGAGGAGGTTCTGATATTCTCACAGAATACAAAATACAGCAGCAGAAATACTCTGATAAAGGCATTTGTGTGAGTTGGTTTCTTTTAACTCTGGACCCTTGGTCACTACTGTCTAGAATGACTGGCATTCATTTCAGTGGACAAAGGATCTAGTTACAGAGAGGTAATTGGCTTTTGTATATGGAGATCTTTGTCTTGCAGAAGGAGTGGATTTTCTAAGGCTACTTCTTTTGGCTTACCTCTAGTTTCTTGAATATTTTCTTAAAATGGGTTATTTTTACCTTTTGCTGTTCAGTGGATTGATAGTTAGCAGTTGTCTGATGGTTACAGCATCTTCTAGTCATTGAGAGGGGCTGTTCCGTGCCCAGGAGCTGGAGCCTTAAAATCTGGAATATGGATAATTCGGCTCTGCTTGTTCTGTCTGTACAAAAATGGTAAAATGAACGTGTGAGGAGGGGGAGCATGGGGGCGGGGGTTGCAAGATTGTGAAGTGCATGAAGACAAACAGGCGTGTGCAAGCGCCGGTTATTGCTAGGCGCTGTTGTTCATTTAGCGTTGCATCACTGATGTTGTCCAAATGTGAATGAGCCCTTCTGATCCTTTAGGCAGAGCCTGCAGTTGTCAAGCCTGATGCGGTCACTACTCTTCAAGCTGCCAAAATGCTTTTCTGTCTTGGCCTCTTAAGTGCTGCTTTGCTATTACAATGGCATATTCTATTCCTGCTCTGGCTAGCTCACGCTTCAGACATACTTAAGCTTTTAGCACAGCATGTTTGAAATGTACCCTGAGGAGATCTATTCTTTATCTTTGTGTCATGAGGGGGAGCAACTTGGAAAAACTCCAGGCTTTGCCCATGCTCAGGCTTAATTCTGGCAGTGAAAGGGTAAAACTTCGTTGCTTTTTTCGTAATGTTTTGATACAGATGGTGCTGTGGGTGGATGGGTGGGGAAGTTTTAGACAACTCAGACTTAAACATAGATATGTTTCAAGGTCTGAAAGTGAGTCGCTGCTAAGTGAGTGCAGAAGATCTCAAGTGGTGGGCATTCTTGCGCTGACATTACGAAACGGCTCCCAGGGAGCTGTGTTCTGACACTGTGACTGACAACTGAACTTACGGCTGGTAAACCAGAGCATGCTGAAAATGAGTCATAAGCTAAAAGTAACACAGCCATCATTAGCTGAAAAAAGAAGATAGATGAACAAGTAATGCAGTCTAATGAGAATTGGGTTTTTCCATCCTGCTTTCCTAGATTGCTGCTACATCTCTTCCAAGTTGTAAACTTTCAAGGCTTCTGTGGAATTGACTCCTGAATAAAAATACTTAAATGATCTGGCTTTTAAAAAAACTAGTGAAAGTACTTTCTTCCCAAACTTGCTCTCTGCGTCATTTTTCTAGTGTGCAAATCAGAAGATAACAGCAATGCTGAAAATAACTGTCCTGCTTGTTATGTACCATGTCTAGGCAAATCTTATTGAGAGTGCACAGTCCTGAGCATTGGCTTGAGCTTTGTGAAATATCTTTAAAATCTTGGAGCACATACAGTTGGCATATAACAGTCACAGGACTCATGTTAGAGTCTTATTTTGCTTCTACAAGTACTCTTTGTATGTGCCACTTTGCAGGTGTTGCACAAGGAAGGATTGGGTGAACTGGGCCTCATGGCTTTCTGATCAAGTCTTGATCAAGCCCAGGTATCTACACATTTGCTACAACATAAAAAAGGGTTGCAGAAATCCCAGTAAGTAGGCCACAAGTTCCCATGCCACTGAATTGGGCTAACCAAGCTCTGCAGCTCTTCTCTTGGACTCATGTAGAAAGGCCTGTTCAAAGCCAGTCCAGAGAACATCTGAGGATGTACCAGCACTCTTGTGGTGCTATTCTTATCGTACTCTTCAGGTAGCCTCTCTGTGGAGCTAAGTGGGCCTTGTGTGTACTCGGCTTTAGTTGTGGCTGGGGAGAGTGCTCTCCCTGTTTAGAAATGAGTTTGAGACACAGGATGGTGTAGAGGTAAATGTTTTGTTCTGTCTGCCCAATTGCTAGCAATTGACCAATAAACATCCACTTAGTTGGATTTGTTTCACTTTCTTCAGTCTACATTGTTGCAATTTTTAAGGTTTGGTTTTGTTTTGTTTTAAGGGCAAACTATGTAATGAGTTTAATGGAGTGAAGCTTGATGCTACCTCCTGGCATTCTCTGAAGACTTGTTTGCTTTCTGGCTTTTACAAACCATCTTAACTTGTAGAAGCTCATAATCTTATTGTGAAATGCATTTAAGGGTTATGAAGAACTTGGCAAGTTAATCCAAAAACTCATCAAAAGATCCTTTTACAAATCAAATGGAAGATAAGTCATTTCTTACGTATAATAGACAAGTAGTGTACAGTCAATGTACAGTACTTGGTCATGCACACGCTTGTTAGCCCATGTTTTTGAGTCTTCAGCGATTTCTTCACCGAGCACCAGTGCCCATGTCATGAACTTTCTTCATTCTCTGCAAATTATGAATCTACTGTTGGACTTCAGTCTGGGGTTTTTTTATTATTATTTTTGTCACAATCCAAATTGAAATGTAATCAAAATAGATGGCCTGATGCCTTCCCATTGCATGAGCTAGGACCCTTGACTGGCATGTTTTAATTGCCCAAATACCTGTTCTCATTTGAGTTACTGGTTCAGAGGTACTAAAGAGGGGCATATAATTTACTTCGATAGTTTCATTTACTTTTCCTTCTCTTTTTCATGTGGTTGTTCCAGGTATTGCCCTCTTGTATCTGCAACTGTACCGTGTCACAAAAAACCAGAGCCATTTGCAGCGATCTCTTGATTATGTGAAGAGAATCCTTCGCAATCTGAATGGCAGAAGAGTTACTTTCCTCTGTGGTGATGCTGGGCCGCTGGCAGTGGGTGCAGTGGTTTATCACAAGCTGAAAAATGACAGTGAATCTAAAGAATGTGTTGCCAAGTAAGTGGTTGATGGTGGAGAAAGCCATGCCCTTCATTTGTAGACAGCATTGGTTCAGTAACATTAGCAAGTGGAGTTTTGGAGGACAGAATTAAAAAATGGAGAAGCTTTCTCTCCCCCGATACGTTTTCAGTAGAAGAATACAAAATAGGCTTTATCTTTATTTAAAGCTGTCTTACACTTGATTCACATTTAGCAGGTTTATCTTGAGTCCTCTTGCTGTAAGGACAGGATGTCCTGGACATATCTGTAGTGCATGCACATTTTGATTTTGTCACACTGAAGTGACATTTAACAAAAGCTGCATGCTTGTCATTGGCAATATGTACTGCTTGTGCAGTGTGTGATGCTTCCTGTAAAGCGTGGGTCTTAATTGCGGATTCATTACAAAACATGTACACTGCAGGGGTGTGGAAACATCCAGACGGAAACATGGTACATCAGATTGATATGTAACAAAAGATTTCATAGAATAAAAACGAGGTGTTTGCTAAACCGTTAAAGGCAAGGGCTTTAATTAGGTTAGAGCGTATGAAGTATAGCCTGAAAAAATTCCAGCCCCTTTCCAAAGTAATCTAGATGTAACAAATATCTTGAGAATTCCCATTTAGCTTCCTTGAAGAACTAACTGTCCCTTTGTTGGTATGGAGCTGACTGCTGTCCCAGCAAGGACTGGAAGCACTGGAGCCCTGTGTGGTTTGCATTGGCACCAGCAATCCACATGCTAGCAGTCCAGCAGCATACCTTACACTGCCAGAATTTGAGGACTAGCCTTGTGTCCTCATCTCTGTTCTGGTTTATATTTGGAAATATCATTGGTCTCTTTCTAATCTAGAATCCTAGTGTGATTAATCTCTGCTGCTGTTCCTGAATGAATATTTCAGTTTTGAAATGAGTGGTGCATTTGCGGTGTTTTTGCTTTTAGAACTGTCAGTAAACTTGGGCATGTAATTTTGGGTGCAGCTAGGGAAAGCAGTGTTGCTGTAAGGTGTGAAGCATGAGTATAACAAAATGAGATTAGCAATAAATCTTTTAGTCTTGCCTCTGCTTGGAAAGTCATTTCTAGGAGGAGAACTGAAAAGGAGGTTAGTTTGATTATTTGTTCCTTTTCTTCCTTCCTTTTTTGTTTACAAATATTTTCATGACACCAGCTGAGTGTTACATTATAGATGTCAAAATGTAATCTCTGATTGCACTTAAACTTTGTACCTTGTAGCTGTCTTAACAGTGGACAGTTTAACAGAAAATAATTTCATTCCAAGTCCAAAGAGTAGTTCCAAGAAAGGAGTGATAATACATATATATATATTTTTTTTGTGAGTGGCTTTTCCATGGTATTAAGCAGTGACAGCATAAACAAGCTACTGGGGTCAGTATTTTTGCTCCAGCATGATGTTAGTGCTAACATTTCTGACAGGTAATAGCTGTTGGGGGGAGATCTGGGAATTGAATTTGGTCTTAATCCAGATTGTCTTGCCCCCTCCACCAATTTAAAATGTGATCATCTCCATGGTTTCATCTAATTGCCAATTTAATCACAAAAGATAGGAAGAGACAGGGAGGGAGTGGGCAGGAAAACAGATCTCTGCTGTACCTCATTTCTGATGCAGACTGCTGGAGTAATAGCAAGGAGTCTCTAGGGAGCAAATGAGAGTTGTGATGGCCAGCCCAAGGTTTTTTTCCATCCTCGAAGGCAAGCAAAACGCTTGTGCATAATAGCAGTGCCCTTTTCAAAACTGGATGGCTAAATGTTTGAGACAACAGGTTGTCTAGGGAGGGGGAGTGCTGAATGGTGGTGTTGGGGTTTTTTTTGCTTGTTTTTGTTATTTCCCTCTTACACATCTACAGTTAAGGGTCCTTGCTTAGGTGAAATTCCCAGACACTACAGGTGGCGCTTGCTATTTGTTGGAGTAGTTCTCCAGACTCATGCAACTCCACCCTGCACCCATACCCCTGTTTCTGTCTGCACAAAAACCTGATGGTTGCGCTAATACTCACCTGGCTCTGGCTCCCAGTTGCCTGTCTGTCAGGGACGGCAGGCACGCAGAGCTCCTGTGTGTAAACCTGGCAGCCAGCTGAACTGTGGGTGACTGAAGGTAAGTGGTGGGGCTTTGGCACTTGTTCTGCTTCTGGTTTGATTAATGGCTTGTGCAGTACATAGTCCAGTATAGTCTCTAAAGAAGATGCTCTCTCTGCCCACCTTCCTTGTCTGATGCAGGTTGTTGCAGCTCCAAAGGACAGTCGTAAGCACAGATGCTGAACTTCCAGATGAGCTGCTTTATGGCAGAGCAGGTTACCTATATGCCTTGCTGTACCTGAATACTGAAATCGGTCCAGACACTGTCCCACAGTCTGTTATCAAAGAGGTAAGATACTTTTCTCCTTCCAGTGCCACAGCATCAGCAAGGTTGAACTGGAATCACTCCTTCCCATAATTCAAGGGATTAAGAAAGGGAGGCTGGAGAAGAAAGGGACCATTTCTACCTGAATACTCAAGTCCAAATGAATGGAATATTGTTGTCCTATCACTGTTTATTGTGGCTTATTCTCTGCTGTGGTTTTAGTCATGACAAAGCAAACCCCTTTGAATCAAAGCAGGCGAGACAGATGGAAGGGGTGTGTTCTCTTTCTTAGGTAATAGATGCTATTATTGAATCGGGGAAAAACTTTTCAAAGGAGGAGCGGAAAACAGACCGTTGCCCTCTGCTGTACCAGTGGCACAGGAAGCAATACGTGGGAGCGGCCCATGGAGTGGCTGGGATCTATTACATGCTCATGCAGGTAAGAGCATCTTCTGTGGGCTGGGGTGAAACACCAGTGATTTCTTGTTTTGCATCAGAAGATCTTATCTTCAGCTTTCATGCATGTGCAGCCCTGTGCTGGGTCAGGGTCTCACAATTTGGAGTTAGAGTCGCAGCACAGAACTGTAGAGATGCTAGCTCAGGCCCTGGTAGCAGAAGAAAACGGTGACTTGGATATTCTCTCATTAGAGTGAATTAACCCTTGAGTTGTGGTTCAGAGCACCAGTGTTCCAGGAGCTGAAGTTTCCTATCCTCAACAGAGACAGTGAGGTCTCTCATCCTCGTACATTAGGCCAGCTAAATATTCACTTACCATCCATCACTCTTAATCTTCAATTTTTTTTCTATTTTTAAATGAATGCACCACTGGTGCCTCCTGTCCTCTTGCCCTCCATGCCCTTCCTCTCTTCTCCTCCAACTTTTATTTTTTTTTCTGCTGTCTTGAAGCTTTTGGAAGACTATCCTTAATCACACATTAGTCTTCACTGTGCTTTTATTCTTTAGATGTTCTTCCTTATCCCCGCTATCTCTCCCCCCAAAATCTATGTTCCTTAGTGCATTTGTGACCCCTGCTCTCCTCTTTCTGTTGTCCTGAATGAGATTCCTCTCTTCTGTATAACTCCTCTTTCCCACACTTAAATCTATCCCCCCTTGCCCTGAGATTCTCCAATAGGATTATGATGTGTTTCAAAACAGACCAGCATATCTTATTTCTGTTGTACAACCTAGAAAAAGAGCCTTAAGATTTATTATAGAAGATGGCCATAGAGCTGCAAAATTTGTATTGTACCTGTTTCTGGTTTTTAAAGGTGCTGCTGGTCTGTGTATCTTTGTAAATGTTAATTTTCTTACCAGCTCATGCAGAATGACATTCCTTCAGGCAAGTGGAAGGATTGGACATCCTCACAGCCTGAAGTTGCATATGAATATTCACTGCAGAAGTGATTGAGCTGGTATTTGGTCTTGCCACTGCTTAGCTGTTCCTCATTTGCCAAAAATGCTGTGACTTCTCCCCATCTCTTTCAGATTAGCTCACACCACTTCCACCAGTAGCTGAGGCTAAAGTGGCTGACTGCTGTGGAAGTGGCTACTGCTCTGCTACCTGGGGGCATGTCTTAACATCACTACAGCCATTTTCTGCAGTGACCATGTCACTGGGACCTCAGGCTGCCCCGATTTACTATGCCCTTATCTTAACTTCCTGCTTTCTTCAACAAGGTGGTCCACTTCCAGCTCCGTTATCTTCCATTTTTCCTTCCCTAGCTCTGCTAGATCTTCTGAGAAGCATCTGGTCCTTTAAAAAAGCCTCTTTAAAGGCTCCATCCTTAATTTACTATTCAAGGCTGATAGCAGAAATAATTGCACAGTGCTTTTTGGTTTAAGCAGCAGCTACTCTGTTTACATGTTAAAATCGTAACTATCTTTTCCTGTACATATAATTGCTGCTTTTAAGAATTACCACAAAGCCATTGTTTATGCAGCATGAGATTACTGTCTTTTCACTGTACATTAAATATTGTGAGTCATTCAGAGTTGAGTCATCCACTGCAGAAGAACATGGCATATCGGAGTCCATCCTCTCCCCACCCCTCCCATGCCAAATGAGGAGAATATTTCTGTATTTTCAGCAAATAATTCAGGAGATGATTTGTTGAGTGGTTGGTTGATAACAAAAAAAAGGGCGTCCAACACAGCACCTGAGATGTGAAGGTCACTGATCATCATTTCTGTACAACATTTTTATGAGGAAACATAGATTGCTGGATTTACTTACAGAAGACTACTGTAAGAATAAGAGCTCAGCAGTGTTAAATAACTCATCCAGGAGGTAGAGGAGGAATTCTGAAGTCCTAGCCCCTCTGACTAACCCTGAGGCAAAAATGTCTGCATATCATTGCTCTTGGCCAGGGAGTCAGGACACATACATGTAGGTTACTTTTTTGCTGTTGGAAGTAGGTGCTGGAAACCTCAGCAACTTGGGCAAACAACTCATCTGTGCTCAGGTCTTCTCAGAAGCACAAGGTGAGAAGCAGGTTTGTAAAGAGCTCTGCTCTTGGATTTACCTCCCAAGGACAGATGGGCTGGGCTGGGCTGGGCTTGCCTTGCACAGCTCAAGACTGAAGGTATGGGCTGGTGCCCATCCGCTTTGCCTTCTGCTGCGGGGGTGCGGCGTGAAATCAGAGCCCTGAAGCAAAGCTTCCCCCAGAGCCTCCCAACCCCACAGGTCAGAGTCTGAGTGAGGGCTGATCAGCTCCAGGGTGTTCTTCATGATAAGCTGATCTGTATTCAGGTGTACTTCTGATTAGCAGCATGAAGGTTTCTGTTCCTCTCAGGAAGGTGCAGAGGTGGAGTTTGCTTGAGGGACCTGGCAGGTAGAAGCCTGGTAAAGCTTTCCTGGCTGAGGCGAAATAAAAGCTTTTGTTTTTTTCAGGTTACAAAGTGCAACTATTGAAAGTCTTCCTTCATTTGTCTGTGAGACTGTCAATTGTAGCAGTGTGCTCACCTATTGAACACAAATATGCTGGACCTGGTGGGAAACAGTGCAATCATATGACATCAAGTCAGCAACAAAGACAAGTTACTTGAAAAAATAAGCTCAGTTATTAGGCTCCTGTAGGCTCTGGTTTCTGCAGTTGTTCGCACAGCTTGCAGAAATAGCAGAAATCATGTAGGCTGTGTAAAAACAGAGAGCTCTGTTATGAAAATACTGTAAAATGGGCTGGTAGAGGAGGGAATGCCAGCTAAGAACAACTGCAGACCCAACAGATGCTTGGCTTCTAAACCTTTACTTAAATGGAGCGTGCATGTTGATGGATATATTCTCCTTTTGGCAAGGATGTAAACTAAGTAGAAGAAATGAGAAAGAAAATTCAGAACAGCAATCTAAGGATGAGTTTGTCATAGAAAGATATTTAGCTACCTGGAGAAGAAGCTGTTGCTTCTGAAATTGGAAATACAGATTTATAGCCCATAGCTTCAGGCAGTTTTGTTTATGATGGAATACTTTAACCTTCATAAACCCTTGCCAGGTATGCAACTGCATATAGTCTTCATTTACTGGGAAATAGAACAGGTTTGTCTACGTTAGTTATTTTTAAAACAAAATGTGTAACCCATTGAGTTTTAAGTGTGTGTAATGAGCAATATATCTATAAAACCATCTTTCTCCTCTAAGTGTTCTATTTTAAGGTATAAAGAGAGGCCTGCAAGTCTTGAAATCCATATTCTGTTCTCAATTCTTCCATAGTCTTTCTGTGTCACTTCCAGTAGGACAGGTAACAACTTGGTGCCCCAATTTCTTTGTTTCTACAGTAGCCGTAAAAACACTCTTCAGAAGGCTATTGTAAGCAGACATTAATTAAATCTGTGTGAAGTGATTCAAAGTATTTGGATCAAGGGCACGTATGTAGGATACTTGAAAATAGATCATAGAATTAAGTGCTGATACACAATTTGTTACTACTTCTGTTTATGGTTTTGGTGATTTTTTTTTTTTTTTAATGTTTTCTTTAGCCAATTGCAAATGTGGACCAGGAGACACTGGCAGAGCTGGTGAAGCCAAGCATTGACTATGTGCGTCATAAAAAATTCAGATCTGGGAATTACCCGTCGTCACTGAGCAATGAGACTGATAGGCTGGTTCACTGGTGCCATGGTGCCCCCGGAGTCATCCACATGCTCATGCAAGCTTATAAGGTGAATCATTCTGTGTTCATATAGACCCCTATTTTTACAGAGACACCTGCATGCAGGCCTGTTAGATTGTAAGGTTTGCATGTTTATGTCTTTCAAGGTCTAGACTTTCAAACCAGAACCCTAGGCTAGGCACCTAAAAATCTCAAAATACTTACATAGGTATGTTTGTAAAGAGGAAAGAAGTGGGTAAAATTGCTTCTCAGGGTGCTAGTAGTTTCTTGGGAAAGGGCCACGTATTTAAACAATTTGATGTCAGAGTCCTGGGTGTGAGAACATTGACCTAAATTCTTTGAATCTTCATCCCAAGAGTTTTAAGAATTATGTTGGTTTTCAAAAGCGTAGGTTCATGTGTCTTGCCAAAGAATGTCTTCTGTAAATTACTCCATTATTAAGATACAGCTCTTGAGAACCTCAGAGCAAAGATCCCAGGCCATGTCTCGGGCATAAATATAACTGCTGAGCTACCACAAGCCTACTGTTTGCTCTTCTCCATCCTTAACTAGGTTTGCTATCTCTCTTGTGTTGTGCACTTCTGATTTGCATGACATTTGAAAGTATTCAATTTAATTAAATTTATGCAAATTGATTCTTGCTTTTGACAGCCCTCCGTGGCAGATTCCCTGGTCGGTCTCTGGGTGGGCTCATGAAAAGCAGGCTTGGTTTATAGAATAATTACTCATGCTGCTACCTGAAATGTGAACTGTAAATCTCTTACAGCATTGCTGAACATAGCAGCAGTCACAGTTGCTTTTTCTTTGGACTGTGGTAGGAGGTTGACTTCACACTGCAGACAGCACAAAATGTTTTGTGGGAGATAAGAGGGATAAGTTCTGTTTAGCAGTCTCCTTGCTGGCCTCTTTTTATGTTTAAAATGATGGGGCATATGCTGCTTTTCTTTTACTCTTTAGATTCAGCTTTTTGAAGAAGCAGTAAGAAAAATTGGAGTATGTTTTGCTGGCTACGCTTTCATACCAAGCACAGGGACTTGTGATGACAGATAGCAGTGTTTGCCCTGGAAATCAAATGCTGTTGCCAGGCCTTAATTTGAAATGTTACAGCTAAGTAGCTGACAAACCCTGTTCAGAGAGAGGGACTTTCTCTATCAAGCTTGTGGATTTAAGCATCTTGCATGTTAATTGCTTATATTACCTTATTAAGTAGCCTGGCAGGGGATGCCATCTCTAAAGGACTAAGTCTACAGTAATGCATCAGTTACTAATTTTTTTTTTTTTTGTCTTGTTGATCTGTAGAGTGACTTATGCAAAGGGGAGCAAAAAAGTAGCCTTATAAAGGTGGAAATCTGGTGGTGTCCAACTAAATTACTTGCTTCTATTTTCTGCTCTCATGATGGGCTCTGTGTCCCAAATGCACTTCAGCGGCAATAAACTTTGCAAAATTGGTCCTTTGCCCAAACTGGGTAGTGCTTCTGAGTATTTCCAACACAAATACTAATCAAGGTAATGGAGTGTTCCTACTTCTACTTGTGACAGAGAAGAGAGCCCTGTGCTATGCAAAGAGATAGTCTTGTGCATTTTTGACATGGAATTGAAGGCAGATGGTGAGTAACCAGGAAGAATTACTCAGGACGACCAGGACCTAGCCCTTTAGGACCAGATTTGGTGGCCAGTATTCTGCGTTACATTTCTTGGAGGCAAGAATTACATTTCTATGTTCCAAATTCAATGACGTTGTGGTTTGGGAATGGAGCAAGAAAGGACCACGTACCCTTCAAATAGATTATAGTTTGTAGAACCAAGGGCCTTCAACTTGAGTTTTCCTTTGGGGTCCTGATTTCAGAATAAAGAACTTGAGAAGTTCTTTCTTTTTCCATGCAGGGAAAGGAGAAACAATTCAGTAAGAAAAGAAAGGCAAGTCTATGATGAATGGATTATTAAAATTAAAAATAAATTATTTATGGAAAAACCCCACACCAACAGCAAAACATCTCTTGGGTCCAGCTTCCCTTTGTTTTCATTAGTGCTTCAGTTTATGTGTGTTTATTCTCTCTTTTTATTCCACAGACTTTTAAAGAGGATAAATACTTGAAAGATGCTATGGATTGCAGTGATGTCATCTGGCAGCGAGGTTTATTGAGAAAAGGATACGGGATCTGCCATGGTACTGCTGGCAATGGCTACTCCTTCTTGTCTCTCTATAACCTAACTCAGGACAAAAAGTACCTCTACCGAGCTTGCAAGGTGAGCTCTGCAGCATCCCAGCAAAATTACCGTTCCCTTTCATGTCATAACACCCGTGCAAGAGTAGACTGTGATTGGAGTAGGCTGTTGTGTGCTGGAGCTGGCTGGCTGTGCGGCTGGGTGGGACAACAGGGTCCTGTCACTTGCTCCTCTGTGCTCACACTCTGACTGGATGACTTCAGCTGTGTGTGTGGGGCACACACCATCTTAATACACAGAGTGAAGTGCACTAAAGTTTTGTAATGGGGGAGGAACTAAACACATTCAGAAGAAAATAAGAGTCTGAAAATCAGCCGGCCTGAACAATAACAGACTAATGTTATGTGGTGCTAATTATTCCATTGAGACATCCACTGTCATCCTCAGCTCCTCAAGCGATACTTTTTGTAGGCTTTTGTAATTATTTGTTTTCAGACTAGTGTCTGTTTGGGGCTTTTAGAGCTCTGAATTGCAGTTACTAAATTGCTCACTTAGATTTTTTTCATTAATACAAATTGCAGAGAAAGACACACTCAGAATTTTTCCACTGGAGTTGTCCAGGCTCCAGTATCAGCTCTGACTATGCTAGCAGTTACCGAAGGAGAAGGCTTTCTCTGCTTCTGTTTCCTCATCTCCTAAGACTCTTGTTTGGTTTGGTTTGTTGGGTTTTTTTCAGCATAATTCATTGATGTTAGGTTTCGTATTGCATACAAAGCTATTTAGCTGAGGCCTTTTTAAAAGTATTGCAATGGGAAATTTGATGTGTTGCTTCTTAGGTGCTTTAACATGAACACTGGCCACGTGTAAAGCTGTTGTTATTTCATCTCCGCTGTCAACCTGTCCTCCATCAGCAGAGCTTTAAAAAGTTGCTGCTTGTCTCACATTTACCAAAGCATCACACATGAGGACACCTGTAAGTGTACCTGCATCCTAGAGAACATAATAAACCCCTTGCACTCCCGTGGCGAATCTGTGACTTCGTTACATGTGGACTCAACCACTGCTGACACGCGAGCCACAGCACCGAGCCCTGCTGTTGTGACGGCTTTCAGGCTCTCACTGTCATCCTCCATGCCAGTACATCTTCAGTGGCTCTGTGCTGCATTGGCAACTCCTGTTGGTGCTGTCAGAGCCCCGATGTTCTTTCATACCAAGCTGGAGAAAAGCAAGCCTATCTATTTCAAAGCCAAAAAAGGGAGAGACCCGGTTATGTACCTGAAACCCCTTGGAGAAGGAAGATGTGGCACAGTGGCCAAAGACTGTTTGCTGGAGGTGCCCAGCATAGTCAGGTCTGGCAGCATATTTGCAGCCATTCTGCATTTTAGCATTTCCAGTGCTCAGCTGGGCCCTTCGGGCTCTTGCAGGGGAAATATTGAAACAGGCAGAGGAATTTGCTTGTCTGGCATTCTTGGCATCTTTTCTTTTTGAGCCAGAGCATGCAGGGAAGCAAGTGTGCAGTTCTGTTGGTACCTAAAGGCATGTAACAGAGAATTAGATGGCTCCCTCCAGGGGTGTTTGCTCACACTGAAAACATGAGGCCCAGGGAAAGGAGTCTGGCCAGGAATCCCTGGTTACCTCTTGGGAGCCATGAAACTGTTTCACAAATTAATCAGAAGAGCTTGAAAGCCCCTGGCTCACAAAGACCCCTGGTTTGTGCTTGTCGCTTTCGGCTTTGTGACTTTTCTCCAGCAGTATCAGGCTCCCAGAAGGCTGAGCCGCTCCTAGCTGGCCTGCCTGTGAGAGAAGAGAGGGGCTGTGGCATCCTGGGCTCCAGGCAGCAGAGGACATCCAAGCCCTGTGCTGCTCAGTGTTGTGATTAAACCACTGCTGATGGCAAGCATGCCCAGTCTGTGAGACAAATAATGGGAGATACCTTCTTGCTAGAATTTTTTTTTTTTTTTTTTCCCACTTGGTTTAACAAAGATATTAGTGTGGCTTACTGGATCTGTGAGTTGTGGTGAAGCTATGAACTTGTAAATGATGGCTGTGCTTCAGTAGCCTGGGGTGCATTTTTTTAATTTCTGTTGCAGTTCCCAAGCTGGATGTAATAATAAAGGCTAGTAATAAGATGTGGATGTTGCAAGAATTGATTGTAGTTTAGAAACATGCCATAAACATGTTCTGTCCTCACATATAAGACAAGATTACCTAGAGAATTAAACCTTGGTTTGAAGATTTGTACCTGCAGGGGGGAGCAAAAATATTTCATCAGTTATTAATAACAGTGTGGACCACAATGTTTGTGTTCGTGGTTTTTTTGCTGGGTTTCCTCGAGACATTCACACACATGCACATACCCCTACCAGGGGAAGAAAAATGCATCCCCCAATAAACACTTAAAAGAACCAGAGTCGGGGGGAGAAGGGAGGATATGCTGCCCTTTCTCCTTCTGTTGAACAGATTGATGGTTCTGGGGGCACGCTCACACCCCATATAGCTCCAACTCTAGAGCTGGGGCACCCTCTAGTTAGTAGGATGAGCTGTTTGCTAGCAGGTTGCCCAAATTGCAGGGGGAGCAGAAAGAGACATCTCAGTCCTTTGGTTTGCAGGAATCTTCGCCCTGTATTTTGAATAAGCAGTGGTTTGCTTCGAAGGCTTCCAAGCACAGAAATGCCAGGGGAACCTGTGGCCCCCCATACACTCTGGGGAGCCATAAAAGAGAAATAGATGGTTGCTATTAAATTGATCCAGGTGCAGTTCATAAGTCACGTATGTCTAATGCAGCTACTGCAGCAGCGTTGATCAAACACAGAAGAGACATTGTTAACTCTTTTTAATGGTATTCCATCTTCTGCAACAAAATATTGATGACCATAATTGTCTAAATGTATTTTTAATGATTTTTCATAAGGCTTGGGGAGAGCAAATAAAATTAAGTAATGGCAGCTGGAGATTTAATACTGTAAATTGGTGCACGGAAGTGAAAGAAAACCAGAATGCAATTAACAACCCTAAGTCCTGAGCCCATGGATAAATAAAGCACCAAGACAGATAAGAAACTGATACTGTAGTATTAGAAAAAATTTGCCCTTGAAACTGAATATATCTGTTCTCGCAGCATCTTTCATTGACGTGTAGCAGGGTTGATTTACAGAAAACAGAAGTTAAGTACAGTCCACCTAATGATGTTGTTATGAAGCGGAAACTCGTGCTGTGGAAATACATATCCTAAAACCTAATTGCAGCCTTGTCATGGTTGAAGTGGGACAAATTGATCTCGGACAGTGATTTCTGTGTTGTGTCTCTGCTTACGCTACTTTACATTTAGTACTATTAGAGATAATACAGATACTCAAGCTTGCATTTAGCAAGTATTAAATAAAAAAAAATTTTTTTTTTTAATGTTTTCCCCAGTTTGCTGAATGGTGTTTGGAGTATGGTGCACATGGATGTCGTATTCCTGACCGACCTTATTCTCTCTTTGAAGGTAAAGTGCTGGTGTTGCAAATGGTATTGTATTATACAGGAAAGAAGCGCGACCTTGCAGTTTTGGCACATGCTTAGGAGTTGGGAAATCTTCGGTGGGTTCCTCTGCTGTTAAGAATAGACCCACCCCCTACCCACCACCTAAAAGAAAGGGGGGGAGGAGAAAAAGACAAAAGAAAATAATCAGAACTTTCACTTTTGGTTGCATTTCAGCAGTTTTCAATGTAAAGCCAGTGCCACTGTGATTTTTGGATAAAATTCTGCTGTGCTGATGCCTCTTGGCTTAAAGTAAACAGAAGTCTGGGCAACAGTTTTGTCATAGGTGGTGTTGCAGAGGGACTGGGCAGACTTACAGCTCTGGACAGGGGGTCTCAAAGTAGTTGCTGGCTTGTCAGAACTAGACCTTCTCTGCTGCAATACTAAAGCAAGTTTTAGTATGAACCCAAATCACGTAACAGAAAGGACATGTGGAGTTCTTAGGGGCTTTTCTCTAAGTTCAAAGTTGTTCCTAAATGCTTTCCTAGAGCTCTCTATCTTTTTTATTTGTAGTTTATTTTTTATTCCCTATCTCATCCTTATGTTTTAGAAACACAGTAGCAAGCAATCATAGACCCAAGTAGGGTTTAAAGTAGCTCTTTCACGAACAATGAGCCTAGTGTGCCACCTATCACAAATATGTGAAATTACAGCAGACCAAATAGGATTATTTTACAAATCAACCAATCCAAGGTGTGAACACAAGAGAGCAGTAGTTATATGCATCCCTTCTAAATACAGAGTTATTGTATTAATGTTGAAGGGAGGAAAATATAAGTATTCTTATTCCTGAGAGCTCTCTTGTACAGGGGAAAAGCAGGCATACAATCTGTTTTATAAGAGCTTTGAAATTTGTTGAGAAGGTGAAGTAATGCCAACCATAGGATGATTTGTGCTTTAATGCTGATGTTCAGCTTTTATTTTAGTTTTTTAATGTCAGTGGATTTTTATTTTTTTTTTTAGAAAAATGTAGAAGTCTCAAATTTGAGACAAAAATGTCTTAATTTGGGGTGGTTTTTTTTGGTACCAAATTTTGTGATTGAAGTTGTCCAATTCTGCATGTATGTGCACACCTTCAGTGGAAGCTGCATGTGCATCTTACGGGATTGTCTTAATCATTTCATTTGCATCAGATGCTGTATTTTGGGAAGGTTCCTTTGTCTGTATGTGCATTGCTGTTGATAAAATAGGATTTTAGCTTGATCATAAAACTGAGCTTGTATTTGTATGCTGTCCTGCTGTAAGGTGCCTCTGTTGTCTGTCACCCTAAGAGTTTTGTTAGGTGATGCTGGCGTTAGTGCTTCAGGCTCTGGATGGCCTCTTTATAAGTAGCAAACAAATTAATTTGTACATCACAAGTATAGTAAAGTTTTGCCTTTCTTTTTTCACCAGTGAAATGACGAGCAAGAGCTGCTCAAATTCCGAGGGACAGTGCAAGCTTTTTTCTTAATGGAAGTAGCATTGAGGTTGTGCAGCTGAAAAGACGGTAGCAGAGAGATCTTGGTTCTTGCCTTTGATCTTTTCAAGTGAAACTTGGTTTCCTGGGCAAAGTACAGATGAACTTGCCTTTCTGTAGGCCCTAAGTTCACCTGTTCAGAAAAGGACCTAGTGAGGAGGTGTTCAAACAGGCGCTGTTGCCTTTGCTGTCCACTTAATGTTAAAGATGCACAAAGATCTCTTTTTCGTTATGTTGTAGGCATGGCTGGAGCTATTCACTTTCTCTCAGATATTTCGGTACCGGAGACTTCCCAGTTTCCAGCGTTTGAACTTGGACCTCAAAGGAGGGAAAACAAAGTGGAACAGGACAGCTAAAAGATCATTTTGCAAGGAAACTGATGCCAAAAGAGATGAGACTGTTTAGTGCCTCTGATACTGAACCAACTCGACCCTGGTCTGACGGATGGATAAACCCCTTTTCTCAATCCACCCCCCTCACCCCAAAGGACCATGAAGTCATGAGCATGAACGGGAGAAGCCACATTTAAGTTCTCTTAAAGTGACACCTTCAGGCGTAGGACAAGAGAAGTCAAGTTTCGAACTTTCTCTCTTCTGTTGTATTTGTCTTCTTCAGGTCTTTGACATGCTCTGCATGTTTATTGGTGTTGTCTGTTGATTTGAGTCTTTTGTTGGTAGCAAAAAGCTGGTCTCTGTGTGAATCTCTGTCCTGTACCTTTGCGCATGGACTCACAGCAGCAGTGTTGCTTTCTGCAGCGTTGTTACCCAGAGTTCCACCTTATGCTAGAGAGTTCGCTGCAGGACAGTGCCTAGCTTCATTAGTGAGCTGTCAACTTTAAAAAGAGATGAAAAATGTTTTTATGTTCATGTTTTTCTGCTTTTTTTTCTCCACAGTCCCTAGAAGCTAAAGTGATGGTGATGAGCCTTTTTTTATGAAGAGGTATGAGGCCATCTCAGTTTTCAGAAACTTAGCAGGTTGGATGGAAGGGACACTACTTGTCTTCCGCTGCTGCTGTGGGAGGTTTTTTTGAAAGCCTGAAAGAGAGGCTCCCTTTGATACCCACACTTGGTTAGTGTGTTACGCACTTACAGCAGGGTGGAGATGCTTGTCCCGACCTCTGCAAAGCCCCATCCCATGGCATGAGTGTAACAAACTGAAGGTGGAGTTGCCCATCCTAACCTCCCGCTGCCACCAGGAGCAGAGCAGGGACAGCATACCCGTGCTTCTCCTCTCCTGTACGTGGATTTCTAAGAAACCTGTCCTGCAGCATCTAGTACACAAATGAGTAAGGGAGGGCGCCAGGGCAGTTTCTCACGCTGGTAACCAGGGATGAGCGTTGCTTCCAAACCAAGGTGGTGATTTCCTCTGGGCCCTTCCCTCCCTCTCCCAAGCCCCGCTGCATTTAGCCCCTATAGTATGATAGGAACGATAAATACCAGCTGCTTGTGGAAGCTGCAGAAGATTAATGAGCAATCTGAAACCATTGCTAGAGGCTGCAATTGAAGTTGATTTCATCTTAAAATCCAAACAGAAAAAGCCCTTTGCCCTTAGTGTGAACTGTGCTGCTAGTGCTTTGCTTCCCCTTGTAGTGTGGTCAGGTTGTGCAACACGAGACCTGCCTCCAGGTGCTCCTGAGTATCGGGGCCCTTGGGTTGGGAGAAGTGGGACACACTGTAAGTACACTTATTGCAGGCTTATGTGTTCCACACGGAAAGTACGCTTGCTGCTTGGGAAAGGTAGGTAAGTGTTGCACGCTGTCACTAGCCAAGCTCTGCAGTCATCCTTCCCCCAGGTCTCCCTGTGCTCTGTCATTCCAGGTGCTTATTTTAATCGATACCTTCTGTCAGGTGGGAGTGTGACAGACGGCAGAGACTTCGACCTTTCAGGCGTGCGTTGGGATACGTGTGACCCCGTGGGCCACCTGCTGAGCGCCAGTTTGCTGTCAGGCTCGGAGACACATTGTTGCACCTGCATAAATCTCTGGATGGTAGTGGGTGACTTCCTTGAACTTTATAGTATCTGTTGCCAAATCCATTGGGATGTTAATAACATTCATGTTCAGTTCTGCTGGGCAATAGCAGCAGTGCCAGTGCAGGGACAGCTTAATGTCACAGTGCAGCTCCTCTGCTGGTTTGTCAGGTAGGGCTGAAACACAGGAGCAGCGAGAGAGGCTTTTCCACCCCTCTGGCCAAGGGCAGAAGATGAGGTGGGAGGACACCAAACCCAGCTGCATCTGTACAGCCAGGGATGAGGGAGAATGCTGAGAGACAGTGGGAGTGAGGGGTGCTGTGTGCAAGCAGCTGGGGTGAAGGAGAGCAGAGCAGGGCAGAAAGCAGAGGGATCAGTGAGGAACAGGGAGAGCTGATTACTGGAGGCAATGCAGAGAGCGTACCAGCAGAGGCCATCTCAAATGAGATGTTCCTCCGTGGCAGGCATGCTAAGGTCTAACTCTGTGTTTCTTTCTTCAGCCTGTGGATCGCTGATCCTGCCTGTAGATAAGCCAGGGAGCAAGCTTGCCCAGGGTGAAATCTCACAGAAATTCTAACAAAGGAGGTAGACGGTAGCTCTGATCCTGTCTCACATCATCCCGACCCCTTTTTTCTTCCCCTCCACTGTGACTGCAGAGCATGTGGAGTGGGTTAACAGGGAGGGGGCTTGCCAGGTTTGCAGGAACTGCTTGCAAACAGAACAGAAGCCACCGGCCTTCCTGGCAAATCCCAAGCACATTTTGTACTGACTGCTTAACTAGGAGGTCAGCAGGCAGGTATTTCATTCAGTGATTACGTACGTATACGCCTTCATGGCTGCTGAGCTTGGAATGGCACCCGTGGGAGGTGATTTTGGCTGGTTGGAGCCCAAGGGGAATTAAAACTTGCTGGTTTAAAAGATAGATAGGTATATACACACTTAGAACAGCTTAATACTGAGCAGATCTCCAAGATGCTTGAGTGCACCCGTCAAAACAATGAGCAAGACAGCCACCAGCTCTCTCTGTACCATAGCCAGCCTTCTGCCGTGGTGGGGCCTGGCACTGTCTTTCTCCGCAGAATCCCCTTGGAATTGAGCAAGACCAGAAATGTCACGTATCACGTTGGGAAGCGTTTGATGTCTGCTTGTCTTCCTGGCTGTGACTTTCCCCGTGGCTCCTCCTTTCTGTTCGTCACAGCGTTGTGATATCTAGGCGGCCTGTTCAGAAAGGATATTGTGTGAAGGTGAAAAAATGCATTTCATCGAGGCATTGTTTTCAGAAGTCACATCAGACTAAAATGTGGAAAATGTCTCAATATTCCCTGGTTTGCTTTGTCCGTGTGTAATAGTCCATCTGTTGCAAAAAAGCAGTAGCGTTAAAAGTGGAGATGCTCGTTGGGCAGAAAAAGAGGAAAAAAAATGCTGATGTTTTGTTCTTTGGCTTTATTAGTAAAGATCAAGCTATGTGGTGGTAATTTGTGTGATTCTTTTTTTTCCTTTCCCCAGTTGTACTCCTTCCTTCCCTCCAGCACTGTGGTGACAGCTGTCCCACTGATCTGACTGCTGAATCGCCTTCCAATCTCACAGTCCTGCAGGTCGCAACACACGCGAGAGTGTGGCAAATCGCTTTTTTTTTTTTTTTTTTCTTTTTAACCTTCACCTTTAACTAGCATTGAAGACCTCTTTGCTGCTTTTCCCAGGTGATTTTTCATGTACATTGCTTAGTGCCAAGCGTTGCTTTCCTCTCTGGTCACACAGGCCCTGTTGACCAGTTTTGCAGCTAAAGCCTGACTCCCAACTAAGAACTTTTAAGACCACATGTATGAAACTTCTCTGTCCAGCTGACTAACAGCTGTTTTCCAGCTTTGAGAAAGCTTGATGTTTTTCTCTAGCTAGGCTTTAGCAGAAGACGACTTCAAGTATGCTGCAGTCAAGGGGCAGTATTTCTGTTCCACAAAGCCCCATGTGCCACTCATGGCCCTCGGCCACCGAGAGCAACTGTTGCTTTTTTGAATCAATAGCATTATTTCTGGTCCGTAGGCAGGGACCTGAAGATAATCTGTACGAATTCAGCTGTAGCTGGATAAATGCGTTGGGACTGTTCTAGCACCATAGTTCTCTGTAATGTCAAAATAGGGCAGGAAAGAGAGAGAGAGGTGGGAGGAAGCATGAGTGCTGCGTGCCTGAGCCCGGTCCCATCGGGGTGTGTTCATGCAGCAGTCTTTCCTGGTGACATCGTTCGCTTTTCCCCCATTTGTTTTCATCGGTTTCATGCCAACTCACAGGCCCAGGAACCCAGTCTCCGCACGGCAGAGCAGCTGTGATGTGCACGCAGGGAGCACGAGTCGCCTGTCTTCAGCCACCGCTTCTCTTCAACAGCCACGAGCGGGCTGCTGTAAATCCAGCTGTGCCTATGGGCTAAGCTAGGGTTAGCCAGCAGGCGCTAACTGTATCGAGAGAGACACAGATACAGACACATGCACCTATCCTTGTGACTTCTCTCACTACATAAAGCTGAAATAACACAGAAGTGCAGCTAAGGAGCTACCTCCATCTGCAGGGGCTGGGGTCAGAGGGCTGCTTAACTTGTCACTGTTCCCTCTGCTGTCCCCTTCACCTTGCAGCACCCGGCAGCCTGGGACAGTGGCGGCCAGTTGCTCCTCTCCTCTTTAATAAATAGCATTATTAGCTAGCAGTCGCTTTTTAGAAACTGCCTTATGCTGGATCCTCCCCTGAGTGGTATCTCTATAGTAGCAGTTTCCCCGTCAAAGAGTACAAACGACTATAAAATACCAGAAGGCAGCTCAGCCCCTCTGCGACATGGCATTGGAGGGGAGGGCTCCCACAGCCAGGGGGCCTGCAAAGACAGCCTGGCCCATTTCTCTCACCTACTGAATTAGTAGTGAGGTGTCAAACCAAAAAAAGAAAAATCAATTTAAAAAAAAAAAAAAAAAGGTAACGCTCTGCTGTCTGACAAGCTGTTTTATCTTCTTGGCTGACCTGTGCGCCAAAAAGTGGCTTCTTGGGTGTACGCATACAAATCTAACCCATCTGAGGGTTTTGGGTTGGTTGGTTTGTTTTAAGTAGGGAAGAAAGAGCAATACCTCCTTTGCTTCTTCACATAGGCTGAAGAGCTTGCTCGAAAAACATAGTTGCCAGCTGTTTGTTTTCACAGCAGTGTAAGCTGTCACAGGGCTTTAAAGAAAAGGGAGGAAAAAACCCAACCCCAAACCACACCCACAAACCAGAAAAGCTTGTCACTACATTATTTTTTCCCAAAGTGATAATGAAACACAGGCGCAGCTGCCTGGCAGCCCCGAAGAGAAATGGCAGGGTTGGTACCCTCCCTGTCAATCCGGGGCCTCTTTGTAGCACAACGGATGCGTCAGCCTGCTAATTACGGGGAGGTGCTGCAAGGATGCTGCAGGTGATGTTTGCCCCTCTCCTATGAGCCATGGGGCACCCAATCACTCCAGGGAGAAGGAGGTGGAGGAGAAATGCAAGAACAAATTAAAAAAAAAATAAAAATCCATGAATAAGATTGTGCTCCTTCAGCGGCTTCAGCCCAGCACTGCTGCCATGACGGGCTCCCTCACCCACACCTTGGCAGAGGTGCCTCAGGTGCCCTGGGCCTGACAGCGAGTGCCAGGGCTGCGTACCTGTGGGAAGGCTGAAGAAGCAGCAGCAAAACTTTATGAACCCTCAGACCGCAATGAACTTAATTCACTCATTAATATGGAGCGATAGCATGTAAGGCAGCACCTTGGAGGGAAGGCACCTTTATGGGAAGAAAACCTACTTTCCTGGGAAAAAAGCATCGCCTGGGGTCAGGAGATGCTCTGGCAACAGCCAGCCCTTGCCTTCAGCGTGAGCCTGAGGCAGGCAGAGCTGTGTCACCAGGGGCTGAAGGATGAGCCTCAGCCTGGCTGCTCAGAGGCTTTACAGCCCTGCTGAAGGACAAAAAAAAAGCTATCCCCATTGCTGCTTTTCTTCTAAGGGGAAATCATCTTGAATGAGCCATCACTCTCCTGCTGCAGGGATGAAAGGAGATGTGTGGAGCATACAAGGGGGACTGGTGAGGAGGGGGGAAGCTGAAGGAAAGTCATTCCCAAAGCCTCCTGGGGCAGGCAGGACACAGCACCTGCGAGGCTGGTCCCATGATCCTGGAGTCACTCTGCACCCCTGCTTACTCCTGGCAGTAGCTGAGTTAGAAGAAGATGGCATTACAAGAGTATCCTTCCTCTCCTCCCCACTTGAACCACAGCAAACCACCAGCAAACCCAGGCTGAGAGCCAATGTCTGCACAACCCCCTGGAGCCGACCACAGGCACAGAGCACACACACAGTGCTAACCAGCAAGTTTTCAGGCTGTGCCACTTCACGCTTTTACTGATGGAAGCCAGATCACTTCTGTCCCTTTGTTGGCACTGGGTCACACCTGGTCACCCCCCCAAAAAAAAAATCTCCCTGGTGCAGCACCTACCCCAGACCACCAGTACTTTCTGCACCAAACAGCCCTCCACTGCCGCCACGCAACAGGGGGCTGCAGGAGTTGATGACAGCTGTTCAGGGATTGGGATCGATTTTCTGCCGAAACCCATCAAGTGGAGCAATTTTTGCACCTCCCAGTCTGCAACGCATTGGAGAGGCAGCTCACGACCAGCTGCCTGACACTGCCTGCATCCATCCCCTGCTGCCGGTGGCAGGGTGGCGCACATGCATGACAGAGGCAAGGGGAGGCAGGCAGAGCCTGCCCGCCCTCCTCACCCTCGGCTTGCCCCCTAAACCAAGATTTAGAAGGTCTGTTCTGCCAAAGAGATGCATTTCTAGGATGTGGATGAGCCTGTCCCAAGCATTTACCCTTAGCACTATCAGGCAGCTAATTGATTAAACACAATCCAAAACAAATCTCAAGGTGTTCCAGTATCTGTAGTCAGACTGGTCCAATTAATGACCTGAAAAACACTTGAGAAATAAACTGTTCCCTCCACCCGGGGAGCCCTGCACCTCCCTGGCCTGGGCAACACAGAGCTGGTGGGATGGAGGCAGGGCAGCACGAGCTGAAGAGTCACAAGGTGAGGAAACCCCTCCAAGCTGATAGGAAGGGAAACAAATGGGGCTTTTCGGTCTCACCAGCGATGGTGGAAGAAGAACCACCAGCTGGAACCTGCTGAGAAATGTGGCCAGGTCTGTGGCCCTGAAAATACCAGGGGCCAGGAAGGTTTGCGGCATGAGGAGATGGCCGACTCCCTGTTGAGTGCTACAGTCTCAGGAATACCTCCTTTAACAGCCCTTCAGAGACACGTTTGATGACAGCATACTTTGAGGCACAAGCTGCACACAAGGATCACAGGGTCCTTAACAAGTCTATAAACACCTCCGCTCATTCCCTCCCTGCATGATCTCCAAGGACAACGGAAAGCAGAGCACATCCAGTCATCCATAACCTTTGCTGTTCTTCACTGAGACAGGACTGATGCAAAACCTCTTGCTGAAATCCACCTGCCCAATCACAGAAGGGGCAGGTTCCCCCCCATCCCACAGCACAGCCCGGGCTTGTTGCACAAGCCTTGGATGTACGAAGGACTGGCCACACCAGAGCTATGGGCAAGGTCTACCAAGAGGCCCTGGTAGTGCATTTTCTCTCAAAGCGGCGTAGTTGGAGATTTCACTGTGGCAGAAATGGACTGACCCCATTCTCATTCCCATTTCTGCCAGGGTCACAGCAGCAAAGTTGTCCTTACTCACCTAGGCATGTTCCTCCTGATCACTGCCTCCTCACAGGCACATTAGACACGTTTTGAGGATGCGCAACTGAAGAAAGGACCTCAAGGGGCTATCATTTTTGTTCCTGGCTTCCCACCTGGGCTCAGTGGCTCGGCTTAAGCATCTCCATTCTGCCCAAGCCCTGTCCAAGGCATTTAACTCCCCCCATATCAAACACCTCTGCAAGAGCCAGGAGACTGATCCCCACAACATGTTAAATCAACTTCCTGACGTAGAGGGCAAGATCTCAAAGGCAGGTGAGGAGTCAGCCCCTCCTCTGCATACAAGAGGTCACACTCTTAACTCTACTCGGTAATACAAAGAACTTTAAACATACAGCTCAGGACAGAGCAATGAAGAGGGCTAGAGGTACAGCAACATCCAATCTTACTTTAATAAAATGCATTTCCAAGGAAAGCCCACACAAGTTTTATGAGCAATAGAAGCCCCAAAGACTGTAGAAAGACCTACTTCTGCTCCATCCATCCTCCCACCCACCAACCCCACCTTCCAAAATGTACAGTGTACACTCCCGTTCAACTTCATATTGTTGATATCAACCTACTGAAAGTTACAGGTCGTCTCCCTTTTTTCTCCCTGTTGTTTTTTTTTTGTTTTTTTTTTTTTTTTAAACTAAGAGGGAAAAAAAGGAGAAAAAACAAAAGAAAACCTAAAAACTTCCAAAAGTGAGGCAATGAGAGGAAAGGCATGTAAACAGTTTCCAGGTAAGTGATACGTATGCCCACACAGATGCTGTGTTTTCAAGAGAAGACCAAGCAAGTTTGCTAGCAGAGGAGTGCACGTGTTGCAAGAGGTAGTATCATCCATCAACACTAGCAAGTAAACCAGCCAGACTTCAGGAAAGCTTCACCAGAAGTTGAATTTCAATGTACAGCATAAGAATTCACTATAAAAGGCTTCTATTCAATGTGTCCAGAAAAATGCCAGCTGTCATAGGTACATTTCCTAATCTAAAAGGACTTAACAACATCTATCTACTAACACGAGGTCTGTTGTCATTTCTACAGACAGAAAAAGAAAGGTTGGATTTACCTTTAAAAAATTATATCGTGCACACACAACCATATTCAGTGACATATGCAGCTTTAAACTTCAAGTGCACACTAATTCAGAAAATATATACCGTTGTGGTGCACAGATGGACCTAGTAATCATATATAAAATGTACCTTTTTGTTCGCTTAAGCATCTGCTGGGCCTACAGTGCACACACAAAAGTACTTTGCTCTGTCCCTTGTTATGATGCACAGTAAGGGAAAGCTTTAGTTGCCATTTCACCCAAGTCAGGTCTGTGGCAATGAGCTCCTCAAAAGCTAGCTCTGCTCCAGATGACTACTAACTCCACCAGCAGCTTTTAGAAACTTAAGTGACCCTTAATGGTTTTTCTGGTAGAGACCCATGTTCATTACAGAAGGGATGCTCCTTTCTGCCAGCTCTGCAAGAACGAGCATGAGACGGTGACTTGGGAATCTTGGGGCCGCTCACAGCAAAACATGTGAAGAGCTAAGAGCCACTGATAGCCAAACCATCTGCGCATTAGGTCAAGGAACTGCTCTTAAGCACTAGTCCCAAACAGCTATTTATTTGCCTGATGCAGAGAGGAGAGCAGTTTTACCGATCTGTCACCTGGAGATGACAGCTCTACTTGGTACTCTTTGTGGCAGCAGTAAACCCATCATTAAAGCTACTATTTCTCAGGGACAAAACTCCCATCAATGTCAAAGGGAGCCTGGAAGTGTGCTCCCATTCCTTCTTACTGTAATTATTTTCCAATTTAGGGAAGAAAACTTACATATGTATGTCAGTGTTTCTAACTGCTCTGTCGAGAGGCACAAGTAGCTCCCTGATTATAACACCCCCCTCTCACTACTGACATTTGGGTTATCAGCTGTTTCATACAATCACCTCACCACTGGCAAAACAAAGGGAGTCAGGATGCCAATCATAAAGGCAGGGTCCAGGTGCTGGCCAAGAAACACTCAAGTCCCAGCCCTTCGCTTTAAATGCATCATTTAATGTAACGAATCCCTCTTTTCTAGGGCACTTAGCAAAGCCCCTGCCACGACTCAACCAATGTTGGTGCTCCAGTCACTCACAGGCTTCTACGACAGCATCTTTCTGTTGTGCATAAGACCCAAGTTTTACAAGAAAAAACATAAATGAAGAAGATAGTGGCCACCATTTCTGGTAAAAGCACTGCCCTGCCTCTTCTACTTCTACCCTTTTTTCCTGTCATTTCCTGTGGGTGAGGGCATTTCTTCTACGGGGTTTTATGACAGCACGCATCACTCAGGGGTTGGATAAAGAACTGCTATCAGTAGCCTGCCACAACGCAATTAAACCCATGATTGAAACGAACAATAAATAAAGAGAAAGACATAGAGGTTTTAAATATAGGTTTCCATTAAAAGCATTACAAAGACGACTTCTCTCATTTTGAAGACAAAAAAAATCCACTTCTACTAAAAAAAAGGAAAAAAAAATTTAAAAATCACCCCTTTGCAAGTAACTTTAATGAGGAAAGGTGCAGGGAAGGGAGGGAGAGAGGACTTGGAGAACTAGCAAGTGTTCAAAAGGGTGAACACCCTCCATCTTGGTCATTTTGCAATGGCACCTTCTTCTCACACAGTCAGGTCAGAGCGCCAGAGTCCTCACGTGGAGGATTTCACCACCTGCTCGTAAGGGGGAGGTGGTGTGTTGCAGTAGGAAGGTGGGGGTGGGTAAACCGGGTTTCCTTGTGGGGAATTGGGCTGGACGTGGAAAGCCATAGCCATGGGATTCATCACAGGTCCACCTGGATCTGTGTAATACGGCACTCCAGGTTGTTGTGACCCTGCAAGAAAGAAAAGGAGAGAAAAAGTATGAACAACAGCAGAAGCACCAGGCAGCAGTTGTGGGCTTCCAGGGCTCCCACTCTGTACACCCAGACAAGTTTTCTCAAAGCTTTCATCAGAGCCAGGACAAGGAGCCACCTTTCTCCCATTCCAGAGAAAACCCAGACTTGCAGGAGTACATTAATTTCTTGAGATTTCACCTAAATGTTTAAATTTTGCATGCAGTGGAAGTCATTTAATGAAACAAAGGGCACCACTGCCCCAAGAAACTACCATTTGAAAGGGAAAACAGCGAGCCCTGCTCAGTTCCCCGGACAGAAAAGCTGCCGTGCCTGCAGACAGGAGAAGCGGGGGAACCCAGACGGACAGAGGGGTTTCCACTGCAGCCCTGACTCAGGTGTCAAGTCTTACGAGAGGACTTTACAAGTTATTTTGTAATGTACTGGACCTGCTTGTATGCCAGAATGCGACTCAAATAGATAATTTCCCTTCAAGGCTCAATACGGCTAAGGAGCAAAAACCTAAGTTGAAGCCAATTATGTCTGGCTAACACAATGGGACAAGATTGTTTTGCACAGATTAAATTTAGGAAATTATGTTGGAGCCTGCAGGGAGAAGGAAAGGAAACGTACGATCAAACACAGAATTCCTTAGCCATGACACATGAGGAGTAACAGAGACCACTGCCATGAGGAATAACAAAGGTGGCGTGTAACCCTCCTCAGATGTCACAGCAAGTGGTGGAAGATCACTTCATGCAATTCCAGCAACTAAAGTCACAGATTGTCTCTATCTCAAGACGTAAATTAGTTTTCTTCTTTTTTTCTCTGTCTATTTAAATAAAGCTCAACTTAAAAAAAGAAAATGCCAAACCCACGGCTGAGCAAGAGGTTTTCTTCTTTTGGTGCTAGTCTGTTTTTCCTATAATGACACAGCCTCTCAGCGATTTTCCACTCCATCATTCCTTTCCATGACTTAGTGACACTAGGACTCAGTATTGCCACAGAAGGAATACAGGCTTCGTGAAGCCTTAAGCATCCTTTAGTACTTCAGGTATTCAGGAAGGAGCTACATACCAACCCCAAAAATGTGTCCTTACAGTATTAAATCAGATGGGTCGATCCATAAGGCACAGGGATGCAAACTGTCCCAGAGCCTGGGCTCTCTGCCTAGGGAGCTTTGTTTGGACACTCGGGAGCAAAGAGGATGGAAAGCAGATCAGGAACACAGCTATTTCCTTCTTAACGCAATAACTTTTAACACACCACCACAGTAATTTTTTCCCTTTGCCTGTCTGAGGGAAGAGGGCCACTCCGCAGCCTCTCTTCCTTTGCCGCAGCAACGAGGAGCCCTTGTTCGCTTCCATGTATAGCATCAGCATAGGGCTGTGGGACAGCCAGGCTGGGAACAGGAGCTGAATCCTACCTCTCTGACGTTTGGGCTAATACCCTCTTCTGTAGCCTTTTTCTTAAGCATTTTTATTTCAAAGTTAAATCCTGCCCAGCTCTGCATTTCTGCAGTTTCCATCCGCAAGGGGAAATGGGAGAGGTTGAGGTAGCTCACTGCAGCTTGCTCCTTAGGAAAGTAACCACTGGCATTAAAACTTCCATGTATTATTATTGAACTGGGGGGAGGCAAGTGTGGACACCAGTCTTTTGAGGTATTTTTTCAGTACATTAAACCCAGCAGAAAACAACATCTGAATGTCAACTTCCTTGTGGGATCAGCTCAGTAGGTATTTGTTAAGTATCTACAAAGGGACCTGATCTTTTCTAGCACCTGAACTGCCAGTTTGGGGCTATTTAGGCCAGACCTAAAGTGAAAGACACCACCAGGTCTGCAAACTGCTGTTTGTAGGTGAGGTTTTCAATCCATTTTCCCAGTCAGGCCCAGAGGAAAAGCGTTCCCACCTCCAGGCTGCTTGCTGGGATGGCAGAAGATGCTGCCCGTTACCACTGCAGGGAAGGAGGGAGATGGGCAAGGAGCCATGTTTTGGGGGCTCCATCTCAACCGTGAACTGGCTCCTGCTACCAAATCTGGAAGAGGAGCTAAAGGAAAATGTGAACTTGGTTGTCGAGTAATTCTCATTGCTTTTGCTATTGAATATTCCTAGAACAGTAGAAAAAGTAGAAAAAAATGTTGGTGGGGTTAGCTCAGAGCCCAAAGCTTTAAGAAACAGCAGTAACAGCCTGGAAGCAACTGGCATAAGCAGGTTGCCAAAAGGCCTGTGCTTATTTTATGTTTGCCCACAATTTGCGTTCCATGAAAAACTAAAACCATGCTCTAAAATTAAATCTGGTATTTGCCAATCCAGCCAAAGATCCTCCCTGTTCACATAATCTTGAGGTTATTTTTTTCAGCTTAAAAATATAGTTTACTTAGTTTGGCTCCCTCCCCACTGTTGAAAAAGAAATACTCTTCGTGGAAATGCTTGTTCAGTCAAGCAGAAAAAAAGTTGCAGAAATGAAGCCCTAAAAAACCCTTTAGGATTTAAAAAAGAAAAAAAAAAGGTGAATAAAATGTTAGTTTGTGTCTGTAATGTCTTTTTATCCATTTTGACCTGTAAGAGAGCAGGGAGAAGTGCATGTCATGGGTACCTGCTTAAGGGTGCAAGAAAGAGCACTTCCAAAGCCTGCAGAAGGCAAGTGGATGTGTGATAGCAGGCATGACAGGGGAGAGAGCCTGAACGTGGCACCTTGGCACAACGCTCATAGGCACAGCTAGCTAGGCAGGGGTTTAAGACACTTCTCCAAGGAGGCTGCCTTCATGCAGCCACGGTATGGCACAGAATGTAACGGTTCAGAAGACGATTTTTGATAGAGGGGTTTGAGGCACCAAATTTTCAGAAAGAGACCCCTTCTCATTACAAAATATTCAGTTATATTTCCACTCTCAAGCCCTTTTGAAACAAAACCAAATTGCCAATTCCAAAAAAAGTTGTCAGAAAAGGTAATTATCCTCTGGCTTCAGCTCTCTCTAATACAACATGCAATAAAATGACAGCCCGGGAGGAAAAGTGTCAGTGTACCAAGCATGCCTGCGTATGTCTGTGTGTGAGCTTTCGCTGGCACAGATTAGCACTGGCTTATGCAACCTGGAGAGTGGTTAAAAACATCTCAGTTTGGCCTTGCTGAGGCAGGGAGAAGGCAAGACAGATACAATCTCAGCACTGCAGAAGGTCTTCCAACTAGACACAGCTGGATTCAAAATGCTCCCATAAGGCACAAACACTATCTGCTTACAGGTGAGTCTTATTTTGCAGGATTCTCCCAACTGGGACTATCTAGTAGCCAGAGGAGAAGAAATAACAAACTTAGGCAGCAGTATTGCCAGAGGAGCCATCACCAGGTAGATCCTCCTGATGTTCACAGCCATTATGGACCAGAGAGAGAGCAATCAGACTAACAAGGGGAGATGGACCACTTTGCTGCAGAACTGTAGCACAGAGCATGGAAGGCAAATCAAAAAGAGAAGATTTGCAAGATAGTCAGACCGTGGAAGAAAAATGTTGGGCTCTCCTTCACCCCTGCCAGATGTTATCAACGTATTTAAAATTCTTTCTTCATGTCACTGTTCATTTTGGATACCTATCATTTTGTCTACGCTGTAAAGCGAAAACTTGCTAGCCTCCTTCCATGCATGCAACTGTAAAGATATTAGGAACTACAGCAGACGGGAACCGAAGGTCCTGTCATCCTGAGTTTCAAAATCACTTCTGTACCCTGCAGCTGAATTATGCTGTTTGAAAGGCAGAAGACTTCACTCTTCACAGGAGGTGGCTGCATGGTTTAGTGCAGTGCAATCCCTTGTCCAAATCCCAGTTTCCAAAAAACAACCAAACAAAACCCTCAAACCCAGCCTTTTTAAATGCCTTGGCAAATATAAGAAATCAGTGAAAACTGTTTAATGAGCAGTCTCTGACCTGACGCAGTGTTGACTGGTTGTCTGGTGTAAGACACGTTAAAAGTAGGTTCTTCTACTAGTGGAGGAGGGTACATCCGCCTTCGGATAAAGAAACCAGCTCCGCAACAGAACAAAACTCCCATCATCAAAAGAAACCTAGGCAAAGAGAAGAGGGAAGTCAAAACCCACCCGCATTCACGCAGCTCTTAAACCCAGACTGTTCGCTGAGAGAAACAAGAGAGCTGCCTAGCAATCACCAGCCTGTGACTTTTATCAGGGTTTCTTAAAACAGGTTGTCTCTTGAGAGCAGGTCTATGTCATTTGAGACAGCACTCACAGGGCACTTATGGAAATATTACAGACACTTTTAGCAACTAGTACTATTGTCTGATGTTTTCTGGCATGTAAAATACAAATCTGAAACTAAAACACCCTTGAACTTCTGGGAAGTTCAGGTCCATACCTGACCTTTGCCACCAGGATGCTGAACTGAAACTCCAGGCTGATACAGTTCCAAACTGCATATCTTGGACACAAGCCTCATGCTTACAGCACTGAGGCTGGCCAGGAGGTTTGTGGGGGACAAAGAGAAACACTATTCTGAAATTGCCCCTAAAAGAAGATTCTTAGATGGTCTTAAATTACTCAATGCTGTAATTTTGTCTCCCATGGGAAATATGGTAGCTGGCATTTAAACTCAAGCAAGAAGACTGAAGCATTCAGCACTGATGATGACAAGCTTTGCTTTGTGCTTCCTAGGTGGGATATACATTCCCAAGGAAAAGGACATACTTTTGCTTCAGCTCTTCTCCTCTCAGCTCCTTTTCTGACCTGACTAAACTGTCCTCGTCATTCCCTTGCCCTGCTGCTGTGGAAACAGGCACATGCAGCAAGGGCACGCCAGCAGATTTTATTCTTCAGACAGTGGCTTTCAGTGTGTTTCCTTGATTAGTTATCAGACGCGCTAGTGACTGATGCAAGCTCCCGTAAACGGAAACGGTTCTTCTGCCTGTAATTGCCACCTCATTTCAGGGCCCTTTACTGGAAGACAATGACGACTGTGCTCTTTTGGAAGGGATGGAAGTCGGCCAGAGGCCACTGAAGTTGGCCAGAGGCAAGCCTACACACCATGCTTATCTCCTCTGCAGCATTCCCAGGTATCCGAGGGGAAGAGCATGGCACTGCACGGCAGCGAGAGCTATTTCATGCAAAGGGTCAAATTCTGTTCTTGTTTCTACAGTGGAAGCGAGAGCAGAAGGAGGTCCTGTTTCCCTGAGCCAATATTAATACATTCCCTTTTGGCAGCGCTCCTACAAAGGATTTGTTCTGAACAGAAAAACAGAGATTTACGACGTCACCTCAGGGATTGAGATGCAGAGCTCTTCAGTTATATCAGTAAGGATTGCACACTGAAATCCCACAGTCAGCTTCAGGAAATCTCGGTATTATAGCATATATCAGGCTTCTGTTTTTCAGTGTTTATTCGTTTCAATTTTGAAGGCTTTTTTTTTAGGCAGTCTTCAAATTCTACATTAAAATGGTTTTTTAGGAGAGCTTTTGCATTCTCTCTATTGTAATGAGAAGGTTTTATTCAGGTGCTTTCTTAAATTCTTCTCCAAAATGAATTTACCTTATTTTTTTCATTATGCATATACAGTGATTAGTTTAAGCTTTATCCAGATTACTGAGCTGCTGGTTTCACAAGCTCAAGTCTTTCTGCCTTCTTTTCCCTTGCTGTCATCTCCAGTGAAATCCTCATAGTCATAAATGTACTTCCCTTCCTTTTTAATTGAAGCCTCAATTCGGCTGCCAAGAGTATCTTAAACCCCGCCTAAAAGCACAATCCTCCTTACACAATCCTCTTCTAAAACTGAGTGCCTAACAAAACCAGACAAACGCTGCTGCTTGGTAGCAGCTGGGACAGGCATAAGGAATTCAGCAGTTTTGGATGAAAGTGGGACCACTGCCTGTACAGACCAGCAGGATGCAGAAGCAGGAAAGGTCAACCTGACACAAGCAACCTCCTTCTCCAGTGTTTTCTCACGACATCGGGAGACTTTTATAAGCAAAAAACCTGAAGTCCTTGCATTTGTATGTACACATACACATTACTGCATACTTGTACTTACTTTACTTTAAAATACTAGGGCTGGCAAGACCCTGATATAAGTCCTACAAACAAGCAAGAACATGACAAGCATAAAATTCCCAAATGCCCTGACCTACCAAAAATACCATAGTCGCTGGATAGAGAGAGCTCTTACACAGCATCTTGAACCACAGCAATCCTCATAGGAGCGACATCTGCAGAGAAATAAAGACAAAAGGCTGTTAGGGGAGTGGATGTCAGATTAAAATGGCATCCCCAATGCTGATGCCATTCGCACCCTTGCCCAAGGTATTATTTAGGACACCGCCAGAGCTGGGAGGCAAAGCCTCCTGGAAGTGTTCAGGGTCAGATTGGATGGGGCTTTGAGCAACCTGACCTAGTGAAAGATGTCCCTGCCCGTGCAGGAGGGTTGGACTACATGGAAGACAGGGACGGAGAGCAGAATAAACCCCCCATAATCCAGGAGGAAGCAGTTTATGACCTGCTGTGCCACCTGGACACCCACAAGCCTATGGGACTGGTTGGGATCGACCCGAGAGAGTACTGAAGGAGCTGGCAGAGAAGCTTGCCAAGCCACTCTCCATCATTTATCAGCAGTCCTGGTTAACAGGGGAGGTCCCAGACAACTGAAGGCTTGCCAGTGTGACATCCGTCTACAAGAAGGGCTGGAAGAAGGATCCAGGGAACTTCAGGCCTGTCAGCCTGACCTCGGTACCAGGGAAGGTTATGGGGCGGTTCATTCTGAGTGTGCTCACCATGCATGTGCAGGACAACCAGGGGATCAGGCCCAGCCAGCATGGGTTCATGAAAGGCAGATCCTGCCTGACCAACCCGATCTCCTTCTATGACCAGGTGACCCGCCTAGTGGTTGAGGGAAAGGCTGTGGATGTTGTCTACCTGGACTTCAGCAAAGCCTTTGACACTGTCTCCCACAGCATTCTCCTACAGAAGCTGGTGGCTTGTGGCTTGCACAGGCGTACACTTCACTGGGTGAAAAAATGTCTAGATGGCAGAGCCCAGAAAGTTGTGGTGAATGCAGTTAAATCCAGTTGGTGGCTGGTAACAAGCAGTGTTCCCTTGCCCAGAGAGGTGGTGGAGTCACCACCCCTGGAGGTGTTCAAAAAATGTGTAGATGTGGCACTTCAGGACATAGTTTAGTAGGCATGGTGGTGTTGGGTTGACAGTTGGACTTGATGATCTTGGAGGTCTTTTCCAACCTTAATGATTCTATGATTTTCAAAGGACCTTTCCAACCCAAACCATTCTGTGGGTTTATGAATAAGAACAGACTACCCTTGCCCGGATAAAGTTGTCAATCAGACATACACATCCATGGCACATGTCTATCACTATTCAGGCACTTTTTGCATGTATTTGAATCTACCTTCCTATATACTTCATTTAAAGCCACCTCAAAAAGACTGAACATAGTCTTTTAAGTCTATATAAAGGACATGTTATAAAGAAAAGCAGTATTACTGAGGTTTTTTTTCACAGTAAATGAACACTGCAGACCTCAAACCTGAGCCATTTGGGGCTTTATTCACTGCACCAAACAAGAATTGCAAGGTCAAAACTGCCAGATCACTCATTCTTTGCAAATTGGCAGCTTCCAAACAGAGAAACCACTGAGTGCAGATAAAACTTCAAGCATACAGTTATTTGCAAATTTAATGGCATTTTTTTGCTTCTCAGAAGTTGCACTGGACTACAACTATCAGCAACTCCCATTATTTAAGTAGACTTTCCTCTAAAAAAATCCCCACAATTAATATTCCATGTGCAACAAAACCATTTTAAAGGTATTATAGCACCAACCACCGTAAGCACAAGGTACCACTTCACTGAAAGCTAGCACATACATTAACAGCTACCTCTGAACAATTTCTATGGTAACTGCCATTTCCCACACCAATGAAACATATTTAGTAGGAAAAAGGTCAGAGCCAACACACAAACTATGATATGTGACAGAGTCAGATGAAAACATTCAGATTAGCATATCCACATACCAAAAGAAAAGAGGAGGTTACCACAACTGGATCAATCTTTTTAAGGGTGTTCACATCTGTATGCTCAATGCACAGATTTAATTAAGCATCTGGTTTTGGAAAATTTGCCCAACTGCATGACTGTGCTCCCACATTGGTACGCAAAGCTAAAACAAAATCAGTTAGATAATTGTACAGACAATTACACACTTACAGGCTCGATTAACAAGCCTTCACTCACAAAATACATCAAGTAACATAGGCTTCAGCCTCTAATTGGGGCCAGAGGCTGGGCAGGATTTATTTAAGCAAGCCGGAGGTTCTGACATGATCAGCATGGCAAGGTCCATTAATGTACTCAGGCACCCAGTCTGAGACTCAAGGATAGTAAGTTGCTCATGGCAAAAGACAAAACACCCACTTTGTCATCCCTGAACCTGAAAGCACCCCAATCTCCAACCTTTCTTCTTTAAAGCTTGCCAGGACCCTAACAGCTGCTCTTACTCAAAGCTACCAGATCTCACAAAACTACGATAAGACTTAGGAAAGTCAGCATTAACTTCCCATTGGCACCAAGAAATTAAGCATCCCTCCATGCTCTCCAGGTGGATCAACCCAACAGGAGCTTTCAAGACATACATTAAATGCATGGACAGAATCAGGCCCCTTATGAAATGGGGTGGCAGCCACTGCCTTCTGTTAAAACAGTGGTCATGGTACCCCTGTTGCTCTTTAACACAGTTGTGGTTGGAGCACCTCACCCATATCTGATGGGCACTTGCCCTTTTCGCTGATGCTGCACAGCAAGAACTTTTTAAGGCTTGTCAGGCCAGAAAAGCAGAGTCAGGGCCAGGAAACAGAACCTGTAAATCCAGAAGGAAGGATGTGGAGGTGGCAACTGATTGTTGATCTCTTCCTTTATGGGCAACCTGTGGTAGCAAATAAAAAAGCTTTCCACCCGTTCCTGCTCCTCCACATTTTAAAAGAAAGAGCCACACTCGCATCCATGAAAGAAAGGGAGCAAGTTCCCATCACTGGAGGACTGTCCTCTTGTAGCCTTTCTTGAGGCAAGGAAGGCCAAACTATAGAAGGATTTTAGGCATGTAAGCAGTCTTTATCTCTGCCTCCACATGCTGGCTCTGTCAACCCAGACACCTACACCTGACCACAAGTGGGACGGGGAGCGGATGCGCCAGGCAGGCCTCTGGCCCCAAAGCCATTTCCCAGATCAAGCTCCAAGAGCTGAACTTGTATGAAAAGTTAAACTAAAACAGAGAGCCCAGGGAGGCTTCACGTATGCCTCCCTTGTGCCCACCCTTGCCTCGCTTACTTTGCATCTGTTTTCTCCAGAGCCAGAAGAGATGGAAAAAGGCTATTTTAAAATACATAATTATGGTTGCTCAAAACACCAAAATTAAAACAGCATCTGTACGGTGAGCATAGTACCTGAATTTACTTTTTATTTTTAATTTCCAAATTGTCTAGGCTACATACAAGTCAGTACCATTTTTTAAGCCTCAGTGGCTTAGCTTTTCTTCCTGCAAAAGAGGACTGAAGTATCATCTGGAAGACAGTAAGGCTCAACTGCTGAATATTTATGAAGCTCCTGAGACCACTGAATGGCAAACAAACAGGCCATCAAAGAGAAGTCTCCTACATGGATGATTGCACTTTCAAATGGCTGAAAATGATGATGTTGGAGGAGTCTCTCACTATAGCTGTGTTTAGAGAAGCTCCATTTTACAACAGCCAGTAAGCTTTCCGAGGCAACTCATCCAAGGCTAAGCACTGCCTTTGCTTGGTGAATCTCTGAAGCTAAATCAGTATCATGACTGGGGGGGAAATCCCTTTGAGATCTGACACTAGCAACCCTTTCACTTTTTACCCATAAAACCAAATGGGTGCTTGACTTTGCATGCCTGTGAGTATGGACACAGGTACCATATGTAGGAGCCTGGAATCAAGGATGATACCATGATAACAACCTGCTGCTTGTATTCCCCAATAGCGCCAAAAAAGACTGGAAGAACAAATGGCCCATTTGCTGATACTGCTGTCAGGGTACTGCAGAAGCTCTGCTGATCTCCTGGTTCTTGATTCAATGCTCTACAAAAAACCAACACAATTTCTGCCAACGTTGATCCCCATTACATGAAAATTAACTTATTTACAAAAGCCATACTTATCAGCAGGCAAAAGGTAACAATAAAATCAGCTTAAGTATAATCGGTCTTTGATGTGCTCTTATTGCCTGCAGCAAATCCCAGCAGAATTAAGACCCTGGTCCAGAAAAAACAATTAAGCACACACACATCTATTTATTTAATTGATACGCACATCTTTTAAATTACGGTTCTGCTTTGGCTGTTTAACAGTGAAGGACTGGTTGTGTCCAATGCCAGTTGAAGAAGAATGAGCCTTACTATCAATCTGAACTGGACTGAGCCCATCGCCTACAGAAGACATTTCTAAAGTCAGTTTCCCTCTTTTACACATCAACAATGATCCCAAGAACTGCATTTTCCTAGGGCAATGCTTGTTTCATAGGTCAAAATTTAACCCATTATGCAGGCTAAGACACAATCCATTAGTTACTTTGCTAATCTGCAACTTCACCAAGCACACAATTTCTCTTTTGAAAACTGTCTGCAATATGATTTGTGATTTAGAAGGTACAGCTTTTCATTCATAATTCAGTAGAGTGAAATGAACGCATCTGCACGTCCAACAACTTGTAGTGCTAGCACACCAGGGAACTGCTGTGTCAGAGATTAAAGTTACACTGTGTGTCAGATCACAGAGACAAGCTTTTTTGTATGGGTTTGCACTTAAATCACGACACTGAACTTCTTTCCTTAATGGACAAGCAAAGAATAAAGTTTCACATAAAGGTATACAGTATGACCCGAACCCCACAAACAAACCCCATACTTGCATGTGTTCTGTGGATAATAACTGATCATGAAATGGTCCAGAAGGTCTTTTATTATTTATACTTGCATCTACACAGCTGGACAAGTCCCTTATTAGAAGAGCCACTGCAGGAAAGAACTGCATCTAAAAATAATTCCCTGACTGGCACTTGCTGAAAACTGGAGAAATTAAAGAGGTAAAGCAAGGATTACAGTCTTCAGCAGACTGTATAGCCACAGCGGCCTGACAACATTCTCTGTCCTCACCAAACGTGGGTATTCCCCATCAAC